TCTCTCTCTCTCTCTCTCTCTCTCTCCCTCTGCTCCTCTCCTCCTTCTCCAACCCGTCGCAACGGTCGGTTCGTGTCCCTCCGCGCGCCGTTTCTCTTTCTCTTGTTTTCTCGGACGGACGTGCAACTCGGATGCCACAAGTCTGCGATCCCAGATGGAGGATCCGGTTCCAGGAATCGAGCGTGTAAAACATCGGTTAAAGGCGTGCTTTCCGACCGGGAATCGATGGGAAAACAATGGGCCGACAGCTCCTAAAGTGTCTGACAAATGTTCCGCGCGTGTTGCCCATCCGGGGCCTCGAACCTCGCGGATTCTTTCCTTTCTTTTTTTTTTATTTTAACTTGCGAAAAATTTGGGTGGACGATAGTCGATCCGTGGTGAATTTTTTTTCGAAAGGTGATGAGGGTGGAAGAGGTTAAGGTCGAGTGGAAATACGTTGCGGAAACACGTAGAAAAATGTCATCAGAGTGTATTTTTGGTTCTATGGTGGTTTTTTTCCGAGCCATTCTAAGGATATTTCGAGCTTTCGAGCGATATGAAATTCTTAAATTTACGATTATTATTAGGATTTGCATGAATCCTTAAATCTTTTTTAATCTAGTTTAATTTTTGAATTTTAGAAATCGTTTCAAACCTTCGAATTTCTTCGTGGCCGAGATGCAAAATTGCAGCATTGGAAAAACTTTCGACGTACTATCATGGCGTTTCCATTAAGTCAGCGTCCACGAATGTGTTTGCATTTGAATAACACGCTGGCCGACACGAGCTTTTTCCACGAATGTGTGCCACGAGATAAATGGACGATCGGGACGTGGACCACCGAGCAGATCGGGTAAGCACGCTCGTAAAGTCGAAATTAAAGCTGGATTAAGCGAACACGGTCGATTCATCGATCGATCCTCGAAGAATCGACTTTTCTCTTTTAAATCGTAAAACGTGATCCTTCTTTTCCCAACCGTGAAATTTCGCGAGAAGAGGAAGGAAATCTTAATTAAGCTTAATTCTTCGAGCTGCAAAACCAGATTTTGACAAAATTTTTGCAAAAATGAAATGGAAATATGTTTAATTTTTTAATAAATGAAATGTCTATTCTTGGAGAATAATATTATAAATTCTTGATATAGAATATGTAATTTTAACAAAAATTTTGTTGCATAATGAACAATTTTTTTTTGCTCTTTTGTGGGACAGATACAATCCAAAATTTAAATAATCGATCCTATCTTTTTTTTTAATTTTCCAATTTAACAAATTTAGGCTTCTATATTACATCATATGATTCAACTAAAAGTAAATAAGACATAGACATAAATCTCTTGAGCACAAGTTAATTTATATTTTAGAGATTATATATCTCTAATACCTTATCTAATTATCTATGCAATTAAAAAATTATAAATCTGAGAGATTTATTGGGCAAAAATTAAAAATTAAGGAAATTAATCACACGAGAAGCTGATACAGCCGTTGCAAACGGAAGCCAAGGCTTTTCCATTCCCGGAAGCCGACAACGTATCAAGGGTCAAGCGATCCGCTTCGAATCGAGACACAAATCGGGTGTGGAATGGCGGCTCTTTCACGGTAGGCTGAGCAACATCGAGGAAGACGTTGCCCGCGATATGATTAGAGGCGAGAAGTTGCGGCGAAGATCGATAGCGGGATGTTAACAGTGTGGAAATCGCGGAGGCCTGCTATTTTCCATCGTGCTTCCTGCATTGAAGCGCTACAGCTTTTGCTCATTGGCGCCTGTTGCTCAAATGATATCGATATCGAGTCGAGATTTATCGATCTTCGTCCTTTTTTCCCTTCTTCCTCTTCTTCTTCTTCTTTTTTAATGATTTGTGAAACGTTGAGAGATTATATTCACTCGTTGTTGATTAATAGGTATTATTTTCGTACGAGAAAACTGTTATTTCGAAAACTGAAACTTTGTATAACTATGCGTTTAACAGCAGAACGGCAGCAAATTTTTTGATTAATGAATTCTATCGACACTCCTCCTTTCTTTCTCTTCTTTCTCCTGTCTTTTTTAACTCGAACAATCTTGATGTTGGATCATTTATTCACTCGCTTTTGATCAATATTATTTTCACGTAAAAACTATTTATTTATACGTGTGTTTTTCTATGTGGATCAACAGCAAGCTCGAAATTGATTGATATTCATCGTTCTGTGAAGAATTATTGATGTTGTTAGTCGATATTGATTAATATCAATTCCATATAAAAATTATTTTTACTTTTGTTTTATACTTTGTAGTTTGTAATAGAACACCATTTAATTTGTTTAGAAAGAAACACTTCTTTTATTTTCTCAATTTTGACAAAAAGATCATGTCGAATATTATTTTTATTCGACCAATAGAATTTCAGAAGAAATTTTACAAAAATCGAAACGAGAATAAGCATTCCTCACCATAAGAAATATTCCTCGTTTCGCCATTCCACCAATCCACCCAAAATCGTTTGAAAATCTGGTCTCACAGTCAGTCAGTTCAACAAACTTTCAGCAAACATACCCATTCTCTTTCTCTTCCAACTCTCTCTCTCTCTCTCTCTGTCCTTCTCTCCTCCTTGTACCCTCGAGCTCCGGCCATCCGGAGGGATCGAAGTCACCGGGGAACACAAATTCGCGTGTCCCATCTAATACCATAAATCTGTCATCCGGCGGCGGGGGAACAAGCTCGTTTGACTCGCGTTGCTTTGTCGGTGTGGAACGCGGCGGAATTCGCAATTTAGGCTCGTCGCCGGTCCGCGCGTGTAAGAATCAGTCCAATCGAGGGGATCTCCGTGGAGGCGCACCGGTCCAACCCGCGAGAAAGAGATAATTCTTTAAAGGGGATCCCCGGTTGTATGCCTGGTATACTCCTCCTCCTCCTCCTCCCCTTCCCCCTCCTTTCTCTGTCTTTCGTTCACTTACCTCTTTGCTCCCCTCCCCCCTCCCCCCCCCCAAGGGGTTCCACGGCCCGAACCGGCCAACGCCGGGGCCCCGGGGACCGGGCCGGCCCTCCGCCCCCCCCCCCCCCCCCCCTTCCACGGTCGGAAACGGGCAACGCCGGAGCCCTGTGGAACTGTCCGACCTTCTGCCCCACACCCTTCTCTTTCTCTCGAATACACCCCCGACAATATTGTAAACAAAATGGTACCAGTATTTCATTGGTAACCCGACACCCCCTTCGTTGAACCCACACGCATCGCCTTCTGCCGCCTCCTCGTTTTCCTCTTCCACTTTTTCTCCTCCTCTCGTACCTTGTTCCTTTTCTATATACTCGTTTTTTTCCCACCTCCCTCCCCCCTTGACCGACTTGTTCGGCTCCGGTTTTAGATTTTGCCTTTTCGACGATTTTCGAGGATTGGGATACACGTATGTGGTATGCGGTACAGGTTCGTCGATTATCGCGGTGTTTAGAAACAAGAGATTATTAATGGTAAAGAGAGGAATTGTACATAATTTCTCTTATTATTCTTTTCTTTCGCAATTGATAAAAGTATGAAATTATTGTACAGTAAAGATGTTGGAATTAAACATGTATGTATAAATCAAAATTGTTATTTGTATATTTTCTTAATCATTTAATTCTTTTCTTATTATATTTAAATATATTAGTTTTGATTTGTTTCATTTTATTGTATTTAATAATTTTAAACATTAAAAAATATGAATATGAAGATAGTATTTTATAGTGGAAAACTAACTTTATTTTTTTCATCTTCTATTTCACGTGATTTCGATTAAGAATTTTAATAATTCAACTACAAAGTGTTTACAATGCTTTGCAAAAAATGTAGAAATACAGGTAGCAATTATATAGTAAAGAGATATCGAGAAATCCCATTGTAGATAATAAGGAACTAGTTTCAAATGTGTCTATATACGGTTGCCAGAAATCGGGCGTGTTTCATTTTGATCTCAGTATAGAACTAGTTTGGAATAATCATTGAGATCCAAGATCCCCGTGGTTATCTACGTGAAATTTCACTCTGATCAAAGAAACTAGTTTCTAAGAATTTAAACACGATCACGGAAACTCGATAGTAAGAATTCCCGTGCTACTCTAATCTTAACAATCAACCTCGCAAACAGTTGAACAACGCTCTCTGTACTTTTTACCAATAATGAACTAGCTTTTTCCGCGAGGAAAAGAAACTGGCTCCATCTGTAATGTACCATTCCAACCTCTAAGTACGCTCGACCAAATAAAACTCATACGTCGCTTCGATCGCAAGACGTCAATTAACCGTACTTTCGCCGTGGATCCTATCACCTAGTGTTACACACAAAAACGAGAATTGTAAAATCACGTTGAAACCGTCGAATACAATCTCCACGGTTCACAGGTAAATCGTTCGACAAGTATGATTACCCGGTTACGGCAAAAAAGCTCGAGCAGAAATCGCATTAACAAGCTCTTAATAGCGGCCGCGATCGCCATCGGAACAATCAGACCGTTTCTTCGACTCCGTGTTATTTTCCTTTAAGAAACCATTCCTTCTGGAAGTAAAAAAGGAACGATACGAAAATATCGTGGAACGTTGATCCTGCAGGAACAACGTTAGTGTACGTAGACCGGTAGAAATGCAAATTCGAGGGAAATCGAGGCTGGAAGAGGTTAGCTTGGCAAACATATAGTTATGTTGGCCCAGGTTATGATAGGTTCGCGTGGCTGGGCCACATTAGACAGATCCACGGATCGAGATCTCGAATTGTAGAAATTCCGATTCTCGACAGAGAGATGATACTCGGTTATTAGGCGTGTAACGCTCTTCCAAGTCTTTTCCTTCGCTTTCTATACGATCAGCCGGCACGGACTTCTCTTGTATTACACGATTCGTCTTACGTATACCGGGTTTGGATCGTTTTCAGGTTGTAATTCCGCGGATTCGATTCTACCAGTCGAGAAGAGGAATCGTAAGAGGAGAGAAAATTACGGGACATCTTTCTTTCCGGATTCGCGACTGGGACAAGGAGCATTTAAGAGAGTTGGTGGAATTCTTCGATCGGATCATGTTTCGGTAAGTGTTTATAAATTATTTGATTGAATAGTGTAAAAGATTTTCATGATAATTTAAAGAATGTTTTTATAGTGTAGTATTATTTCTACAATTTGATTTGATAGAAATTCAATTGGAAATTAGGTTATGTAGACTGTTACAAAAGAACATATTTGCTACTCAAAAATATCAAGTATTTATTTAGAAAAAATTATATTAGAATACCATATAGAATGGTATATTATCATATAATATTTATGATTTTTTTTTATGTTTTTATAATGTAGTATTATTTCTACAATTTGATTTGATAGAAATTCAATTGGAAATTAGGTTATGTAGACTGTTACAAAAGAACATATTTGCTACTCAAAAATATCAGGTATTTATTCAGAAAAAATTATATTAGAATACCATATAGAATAGTATATTATCATATAATATTTATGATTATTACATATGCATAATAGAAATTTTATTTATGGCAACATAAAATTGATTTTACTTTAAAATATAATATATAATAATATATAAATATAAAAACACATTTTGACAAAATTTATGTAGCAGTTCAAATCATTTAAAAGTTTCTCTAAAATCATAATTTTTATTTATTATATTTTTATACAAGTATGCGATACAAATCATACGTTATAATTGATTTAAACTGATTCTTTCTTTTTAAACTTGTAAAGAATTGATATGAAGTAATTAATTTAGAATTAATTTAAGTAAAAATAAGAAATTTTTAATCGTTTTCAAATTCATCTTATTCGCGATCTATCTAACCTAAATATAATTTCCTTTGAGAAAAATATTATCTATCTTTTGAATCAATATCTTCCCTTTCATCGTGATTTCCATAATTTGTAATAATTTCTCTAAACACACCCTTCGAACAGGTGTGTAACTCCTTTATCTTTATTCTATTCATCGAACGAACAATCGCGGAAGGAATTTCACGAGTTTCTTCAACGAGCGAACTCGACTTTCGTTCGATTGTACATTATAACACCGGTTTTCGTGCTTCGAACTGAATGCCATAAAAATGCATACACCGGGCTACTGAGCGAACGATATCGCAGCTGATAGACTTTATATTGACATATTGAACGTTCTCAAATTTACATAAAATTTGACAGTCTGGTTGCGGTTTATAGATAATATAAAGATAGTATTGGGTTTGATATAGGAATTGTTGCAAGAAGCGGAACTAATTATGATATAAAAAAAATATATTTTAATTAAATGGCATTTATTCATTGCTATATGAGAGAACTTATTGAACTTTTTAATTTTCATTTTAGCTTTCTGTTAATTCGAACATTTTTAATTCTGCTACGTTCCCTCGAGTCATTTTTGACCCAATTGCGAAGTAAATATGAGATTATTATCGATATAATTTAATTTTTCGTTTCAATTTTACATTAAGTTTTCTTTTATATTTTATTATATTATAAAATTATATTTTTTGAAAATTAACAGATAATCGGATAATGAAGAGAGATACTTTTAGTGTTTCACGAAAAAAATTTTTATAATAACGATTATTTTGAGTATATTTTTTTATTCTAAAATTATTATTTTTGTAATGATTCGAAATTTTTTAAGTTATACAAAGTTTTTTATTTTATTTCTGAATGTTTGATTGTTTTAAATTTATAAAAGAATTTTCTATAGAATGTTTGAAAGATTTAAACGAATATCTCTATATTTTATAAATTGTAAATGAGAATTATGCACTGTATCAGCGTGTTCAATAAAATTCCTTTACCAGCTAGTAGAGTGATCATCGATTTCCACATTCCAATGTTAAACTTCTTTGGATTCCACACGAACCGATTCCACTTGTATGCGCATACTTGCCTCCAGTTCGTTCTTTCGAAAAATTCTCACTATGTTTACATAAAATGTAAAATTAATTATTATCTCGTAAGATAATCTTAATAACGATGTAAATTAAATAAGACTATTTAGGGATTAGTTTTATATTTCTTTATTTGATTAGTGGAAACAATAAGATAGTTAATTGAGAAAGAATTTTTAATATTAATTTTAAGTTGAATTCAACTGTGTCACAAATTATTGAAATATAATAATAATCAAAAGAAATTAAAATCAATTTAAAATTTCTTCAAAAAAGAAATCTTTAGATAATAAAAATATATATATGTAACGATTCTTAATATTTCTTATATACTAAAAAATAGATATTTTAAGATATTTTAATAATAGAAGAACTTCGACTCGATTCATAGATCTGTTCGTCCCGATAAAACGATCTGTTCGATTCGAATCCAATATCTTGCAAAAAAAAAAAAAAAAAAAAATACAGAGATAAGCGTGTTTATTTATAGAAACTAACGAAAAATAAATAAACAAAAATATTAAAGCTATCGCTTTACTTTCCCCGACGTCTCTATTACTCGAAAAGCGAGGGCAGGTTAATTTCCCCCTTCTCTCGTGGCGGAAGAAGGGAGAGGAAAAGAACAGGAGGTTATTAGAAGGGCTTATCACGATCAACTTTCTCGCAATTAACGCTCACGAATAGAATCGGTGGACTTCTCTCTCCCTTAGTGGACTTCTGGCCGGATACTAAACTACCCGTGCGTCCGATCGATCGATAATGAACACGTGGAAGTATTCGACTCGGGGTACGTGACCGTGCATACACGTACGCATCTTCGTACTTTCTTCCATATGGAATGCCCACGATGCATCTATACTCACGAATGCGTTATAATCATCCGCGACGACATTGTAATATCGTTCTAACCGCGAATAGACGCGTGGTAAGAAGTATTACTCGACGTGACTTCCTCGTTGATCGTTGATCGATGGACGGATCGATCGATCATCGACGAAGGAATGAATGTGAATAGGAGAGGATTATTGATACTTTCTACGCTGGCATTGATTATTTCTTCGTTCGTGATTCATCCTTGTTTTTTTTTTCTTTTTTTTTTTTTGTGTTTCTTTAGATTAGATTAGTTCGAACAGTGTTTGAAGATGTTTCATCGATGTTTTGTTCGATTAATAGTTAATTAATCGATTTTAATTTGCTTGGTTAAAATTTTTGATGACGTTTCATGTTAATAGGTAATATTTGTAAGATAATTAATTGATCAAACGTTGCTAATTTAAAATTGAGATTGTTCTAATTACTGGATATATATTTAAGAAAAATTCAACATGCCAAAAATCATCTTTCCTATACTTCTAATTCTTTCCTTTTGTCGAAACAAACCAAGACTTAAAAAAGAAAAAAAAAAAAAAAAAAGGCAAGCAGCACCTTTTCCTCCATCGATAATAATATCCCGATGGAAACGATGGAACACGGTGGTGTTCCGCGATCCCTCATCAAGGCGAGCGCTGCCCTCGAATCAACGGGTGTCCCGTAAAAATGCCGCCTGCATTCGGCTCGTTAAATCGGATGCGCATAGAGAGGCGCAATTTCTAACCGACGTGCGC